GTAAACACCCTCAATTTGGGCTTGAGCATGATGGGCCTTATATGTCCTTGGAATGTAGATATGGGTAGTGGTGACGTGTGCGCTTCTTATTGGAAGGAGTTTTTTTCCCTCCACACTTTGCCCCAAATTCCATTTTTAATTGAGTGACGGCTCCTATTAAAGAGGGAATTGAAACCGGTTTTTACTTTGCTTCAGAAACGGTTCGTGGTCTTTCATTATTAATCCGTCACACAAGACTTTGCAAGAGTTACATTTGCCCTCGCTGCACTTCTGCGTCCTTCATTCCATCGCTTCCATCGCTTTGTCAGGTTAGTTTCGCATCTTTCTCTTCAATCTTTCATTATGAGTACTTCGTCTACTCCCGATCGTGTAGACCTTGGGGATTCTGAATCCACACCTTCATCTTCCCCCATTCGCATTAGGGCTCCCCCTCCTAGGGTTTCTACAGATCGCCCTTCGTTGAATCCATCAGGTACTTCCCCTCTTCCAACCGAAACATCCACCTCAGGCTCTGATTACGTTCTTACTCATGAAGAGAAGAAAGCAATCATCTCTATTCGCCGCATCAAATTCTCTATTGCTTCGGTAATGGAAGAATTTGATGTTCCTGAAGGAGTAGACATTGCAGAATATCCCGAGAGTGCCGATTTCACCTCCGGCGAGGGAATTGAGGAGGATGAGTTGCTTCTTTCGGTAGGGCACCTTAACGCCCTCCGATTCCCTCTTCATCCCTTCTATCATTTAGTTTTCAATAAGCTAGGTCTTGCCCCCCTTCAAGTAAATCCTAATTTCTTTCGCATCCTTTCGGCGTTGTTGGTGCGCCGGAGATTAGAGGCTCTGGATTTGACCCTTGCCGACCTTCTGCTTACTTACAATATATCTAAGCATGGGACCGAGCCTGGTCGCTTCTTTTTTACCTCTCCCCTTCATCAAAGGATATGCACGAACCTTCCTTCATCCGAAAAGAAATGGAAAGAAAGGATGGTTGTAGTTAAAGGAAAATGGTTCGTGTCCCAATCAATTGCGCTTCCCATTCCGCGCAAATTCGGGAAATTAGGTATAGAATATTTAACCTCCCTTCATACCAAGTGTTCTGGCTGTTTTCCTTGCCAAGTCTTAATATTTCGCCTATTTTATGAATTTCTTGGTGTTTTTTCAGCTACATTCCCAGCCTCCGCAGCAAGGAACAGACTTTCTTTTCTTGAGGAACGAGTCTGGAGTGACCCCTCTCCTATCGAGGACCTGCTAACTTCCTCCAACCTCAAGGACATTGCTTCCAGTGCCGTTGCTGCAGACCTCATGGATCTGGCTTTACCATCCTTTGACAGTTTCCCTATGACCGAGGAGGAGATACGGCGGGCTGAGGCTTTAAAAAAGAAAGCCGGAGATGCCCAACCCTTGGTCGTCATTGGATCAACTGAGGATGAGGTGGAGGTTGAGGAACCACCATTGAAGAAATCTCGCCTCAACCCCTCTTCCTCTGGCAAGGGCAAAGTCCCCTCTAAAAGCAGAGGGAAAAAAGCTGGAGAGGCCGAACCTGAAGATGAAGTCAAGGCCTTTGTTCTTGCAGAGACTGGGGCTCCTTGGACTCCTTCCTTCACTAGGGCTAACAAGTCAGTCCTACACTCAGGGGATTCTGTGGTTACAGACCCTTCAGCTGCACTGGCGGTGGCTCGAGGAATGTGGCTCCCAAAGGACGAGGAAGCCATCAGCCAAATGGGGTTGGAGCAACTACTCCCCTCTGCCCCAGTCCGGGCCATAGAGGTTCGCATTGCACCTTCAGAATTATGTTACTCTTGCTTGCTTGTGTTTCTATTTATGCTTATATTTGCTTCCCTGTTAAACAGAGTCTATACCACACCATGGCCCTCTGCGCCACTGCTGAAGCTCAATCCCTCTCCATCAAGAAGTTGGAAAAGGATCTTGACAATGCAGAGAAGAGAGCCACTACTGCCTCTACCAATCTGAAGATAGCTTCTGAAGCCAAGGATGCGTATAAGAGGCAGTTATCAGCCTCTGAGGCTAAGGTGGATTCTCTTCAGGCCGAGGTTCAACGCCTGACCGAGGCTCTTACTACTTGCTTCAAGGCGGGGAAGCAAATGCAGGGGCGCTACTCCTGTCTGGCGCACCTGGCTAGTGCTAAAGCGTTCCGGTCTGGCTATAATCAGGGCTCAGGCCCTAAGACGATGGATCCGGACGCCTTTGACAAGCAGGTGGGGGTGCACTTCCCATACGATGAAGGGCCAGAGGCTTTGGAAGCTGAAATTCGCTTTGCCGAGATGGTGAAGGCACACCTGAAGGGTACTCCTAGCTCCCCTACGCCTGCGGCTACCTCAAGTCCTAATGTAGTGGATGCTTTTGAATCTACTCCCTTCGATCCGAAGAGGAAGTAGAACTATGTATTTTGTAAATATGAACAGCCTGTTTTGGGATAATGAATATAACTTTTCGTTTTAGGCTTGCCTGACTTGTTTTTGCTGTATGCTCTTGATACTGTTCATATTTCTCTGACTGGTAATGTGTTTAAACACTAAACATTGTCTTATGCTTCGGATTTATGCTATCCGTGAAAACGCAAGGATTGTGGGAAGAAGGAGATCCTTTTAACAGTTTAGTTGATATCGCAGGATGAGTCGTATGGACAATGATTTAACTGTTAAATGAACCCTCCTCGCCTTCTACTTGCCATCAGTAGACGTATACATACTCTTTCCTTCTCATGTGTTCCTGATGTGGGGTGGAATATGATGAACTTATGACATATCCGCATACACAAGGTATTAAACACTTGGAGTCCGGAGGAAAGAGTTCTGATCTGAGTATCAGAGGTCTAAAGCGAATTACTCCTGGGCACTGAGTGTGGAGGAATATTGCTGAATAGGACACTTAGGGTCCGAAGCTGCTGCGCACGGTGAGCTACGTTTTCCTCCAACCGAATGTAGATTTATGCCCCAGCATTCAAAGTCTGCATATCCGGGGGGGAATATTTGACCAAGGATGTGTGAAACTTGGTTCCCTGGATCATTGCCAACTTAAATGTTTCGATTGCCGTGGCAGGATGGCAATCTGCTATCTCCGAGGCCTCCATGTTAAATCTGGATAAAAAATCTTGCAGAGTTTCTCCCTTCCTTTGCCTTATGGTAAAAAGGCTGGCTATACTTTTCTTCTGCTTCTTATTTCCGCAATACTGGGCTAAGAACATAGTGCACAAGGTCTCATAGTCAGGGATAGACTTGTGTGGCCTATTCCTGAACCATTCTAACGCTGCTCCGGTTAAACTGGTAGGAAAAACCTTACACATCCACGGATCGTTATGATCGTCCAATGCCATCTTTTGCGCATAATGATCAAGATGCCGAGAAGGGTCGCCTGCCCCATCGAACTGGGTGAAGGATGGCATAGTGAACTTCTTCGACCTCTCCACAAGGTACGCCTCGTCAGTAAAGGGGGTCTTGACCAAGGAGTTCTTGTGCTCTCTAGCCATCTCGGCTGGTGTCTGGACTCTCAAGAGCTTTTTTTCATCGAATGCATCTTGTACACGTGCGCCATCTGGAACGCCATTGGACCATACCGTAAGCCTATAGCTGGACTCGGCCTGTTCGTCCTGTGTGCGATGCGGGAGATTATCCGAAGCAACCGCCTCGGACCTCGTCCCTTGCTTTTGCTGCGCCTCACTAGGTCGAGCCCCGTTGGGTGGTGTCTCGTTGGCTGGAGGCTCGTGAACCGGAGGTAAATTCCGGGTGGGAGGTGGTGCCGCAGCATCGCCTGGTGGTGGTTGTGGCGTTAGCCTGGCCATGGCCGTGTGCAGCGTATGAGTCTGCTGCTGAAGCGCAGCTATCTGGGCGACACTCGTATCGTTTGCTTGCCGGAGTGTCTCAAATTGGTGCAAGAACTCTTCTCGCATCTTTTGCATCAGTTCTATCTGTTGATTCATTGCTGAATCTCCGTTTGACATTCCAGACACGACTAAAAGATTTAATTTGAAGAACAAGTGGGAGTATATTTGTATACGCTTCCCACAGACGGCGCCAAAGTGTAGGTGCAAAATTTCGCTCAACCAATAATGACTGAGAAAAATAAAACAACTCACTCAAAAACAATAAAAATAAATAAGAACAATGTATAGAGAAGTGTGGAATTGCTTGATCCTTTATTGGAGGTCTTAGCCTCTATTTATATACAAAAGATTGCAAAATTATGGTAGGACTCGCGTTGCTTGCCCTCCAATTCTTTCTATATAACCATTCTTTTCTAATAGAGTTCTTTCCATTGTCGAATCTTCCATACATAGAAATTGCCTTGTACAGAACTTCCTATCCGAATTTTCCTTCTACAGTAAATCCTTCAAATGGTAGGATTTGCGCATTCTTGGGCTGAATATATTTTGATCCGGCTGGGCTTGGGTAACAGGCCGGATGTTAAATACTCATACGCTGGGCTGACGACAAGCTGGGCTGATGACTTCTTGATTCGGCCTTGATGGAAGTTGGAGGATAACTAACAATGGTATTGGGCTGTAAATACCCTCAATTTGGGCTTGAGCATGATGGGCCTTATATGTCCTTGGAATGTAGATATGGGTAGTGGTGACGTGTGCGCTTCTTATTGGAGGGAGTTTTTTTCCCTCCACACCAGGGAAAGGAAGTAATTAAATAACCAGAGAATACATACTTTTTTTTTTTTTTTTTTTGGAAAGTAAGATTGGATTCATTGATTTTACAAGAAAGATGGATTTTGAATTAAAATACCATGAACTAACAAACTAGGAACCTTGGATGTTCAATTTAATCCCTTTTTATATATATATTTTTTACTCCTTGCAGTTCTAGGGCTTGTAGTTACTCTCTGATTTATCAATTCATTGTAATGAGAATGGCCACATTCTAGTTGGAGAAACATATATATAATTATACTCTAACTGATTGTGCAGGATTAATGGTCATCATAAACTCTAGAGATTCAAGGCAGCAAAATGACAAGTCCCTTGTTCCAACAGTCCCATGATCCAAAACTTAGGCTTCCACTGGGCTAGCAATGGAGAGAGCTTCACCACTCAGTCTTCCCGTGAATTACCCATTGAAAGGATTAAAAATGACCTCTCAGATTCTTACCCAAAATTCACTGAAATGATAAACAGCTCATCAGATGTAGAAGATTTCAAGTTGGATCCAACAAGTTACACGAAGGTCCACGACCAAAACTGTGCTAGTAATTTAGGAAGTGTGTCTACACCTATCAAAGTGAAAAGCCAGATTTTTCCCACGGTGAATATTTCAAACTCAAATCAATTGGCTTCGTCAATTTCAAGCCCCTTGGATTCGAACTTGCAGGCTTTGGATCTCTTCTCCTCTGCAAGAATTTATGGGAATTTAAGAGAACCTTCTTATGATGATTTTGGCCTTTTTGAAGAGAGTATTTCTTATGATGATGATGCTGATCATATGCAGCAATCAAGTCATAGGCCATCAAATTTCCCATGTAAGGTGTGTTTCTTTAATTTCAGTGTCTATCAACAACACTATCATGTACCAGTCTATTTTGAAACTAGTTTGGTATTTTACTGATAATCACATAAACGACTCCAAACTACATCATAGTCATTATCTTTGTAATCTCTGAGAAAGAATAACATCAATTTTCTTAGCGAATATTTATTCCTTATATACCTCTTCCCTATGTATGTATAATCTGAAATTCTCTAGTAATATCATTTGCCTGGAACAAAAAGGAAAAGGAAATGCTATTTGCAAGTTGCAACATTAATGCTTACACGCACACGTGCATTGCTCTTGTGAGACTCGCGAACTCTCTTCCTTTCAGAAGAGACCACTAAGTCACAAGTCTTGATTGGATAAGAAGATTATCACTATAGTAGCATTTATAATGATTTTAACTGTCTTGTGTTTTTTTCTATTGTATTTTTAATTTTTGTATCAGTACCGAAAAGCTACAATACTTTAATTTATTTTTTGATATATATACTTTTGGGAGAAAATATTATCAAAGAAAAGCCTTCCTCTTTTAATATGCAAAAGTTCTTAAGCTCTATACATTTCAAGGAAAAACATCCTTTTTAATATGACTTTTCATATGATGAATTTTTCATGATCATTGAGCCAAGTTTTACTCCTTTTTTTTTTTTTGGTAGATATCTCCCTTTGCTAATGGAGTTGCAGAAGCAAAAAGACCGGGCAATTTTTTGGAGCCAAAGGCATCTCAAGCAGGCGTAAAGAAATCGCGATTGGAGGAAATGCTCATCATGTGCACCCTTCAAGGTGATTAAGGATCAATCATACTCCATAAAGATATCGTATTCTTAATTATCAAATTAAATGGATAATTGTAGAACCATTGACATGAGTGTGCATGTGTATGCTTTGTGACTTATCTGCATTTGCTCATGTGAAAATGCTGTATATAACCAGGTCAGAAAAGACAAATTAAGAGACAGAATTGCAGCTCTTCAACAGTTGGTAGCACCTTTTGGCAAGGTAGTGTTTTTGCACCTCCTTATCACAATCCTAGGCTCCTAGCTAGCTAAGTCATATAGTCTTGTATCCAACACATCAGTTGCAATCCCTAAACACATGAAGATTCATCTATTTCATTGGGTCCTATTATGAAATTTTTACGTGAAGATTAGCAGCAAGACAAATAAGAACTCGAATAGACGAAATCTTGGCAACAGGAGAGAACGTCTCAGCATAATCAATACCGTAAATCTGAGTATACCCCTAATTAGCAACAAGTCGAATTAAAGGCTCAATGGAACCGTCAGGAAGGTATTTGACGGTGTGGGTGTATTTGGGATAAGAGGACACAGTATGCGTCCCGTGATGGACACTATCTACACTGGTATATTTTTTTTTTTTTGTCAGCCGACCTGACCAAATAATAATCACAACCATCCAACAACTCGAAAACTGGCCATATATGTCCTTTTCTCATCTAAAAGTCCTGATACCAAAGGAAAAGCTCAAATTTCAGGAATGTGCAGTCAGAAATTGCCAAGGATATGAACCCAAGAGAGCATGATTGTTTTAGGTAAAAATAAAAATACATTATATGTTCTTTTTTCTAATATAAAAAAACTGAATATGTTTGCATGTGGTCGGGTGGGAGAATATTGCAGACAGACACAGGATCCGTACTAATGGAGGCTATTGGATATATAAAATTCCTTCAAAACCAGGTCGAGGTACTAATCTCAAACCCCCATGTGTGTGTGTGTCTGCGTGTGTTTTCTATTATCTATCCATATATATATATATGGTGTGTGTGTTTGGAGAACATTTTGAAGCATGAAGCTTTTATATGCTTTTGGTACTTGAACCATCATGCAGAGTATGTTAGTGGTTTTTTGAAGCATGAAGCTTTTATATGCTTTTGGTACTTGAACCATCATGCAGAGTATGTTAGTGGTTTTTTTTTCTTTTTTTTCTTTTTTTTTAAGGATTGGACTTTGGACCTCATGATTCCTCTATTTTAGATGTCACATGAATCACTTTTATGAGTATGACATAATTTTGAAAATTTGGAGAATACACTGTGATATATGTACCAACTATTTTTATAAACCGTAATGGTGTGTTTTTCAAATATTCTTGAAAGCCATTGTGTGTCTGTGTGTGTGTCCGCAAGCCTTATATGTAAATATAAAAATCCGTGTAAAGTAATATAGTCTTAAGTCCTAACCTTAATCACCTGAGAAATTATGTACCAGATTGAAGGTCTCATGCTGCAATAGTTGTATAAGAGACACAATAATAAGATACATAAAAATAAATAAATAAAACAACAACTAAATAGCCTTTCTTCTTTTTTTTTTGGTAATTAGATTATTTTAATTCATTAGACTCTGTTGATATATTATGTACACTAATTTATGCTTTAAAAATAATTTCAGACTCTTCCCATATATAAAGTCATCATGCAACAAGACGAACAGAACAATGCAAGAGGTAAGAAAGTATTTATAAAAGAAATTAATTGGTGGCACAAAGATTGATCTATTAGCTAGGGTCCTCAATTTGCTAATTCAAATGATCAAAACTTGAACTAGTACAATAGTAACAATACCAAATGTTAAACCTATATCCTTTTCACTTATCCGTTTCTGACTTTCTTTTGAAAAGTACATCTAATTTGAATAAAATACAATTTTACCCTTATGTTACACTAATTTTTGAGGAACTGTTGGCTCATTTAGCATATGCTAATGGCAGCGCTCGAGGGAGGATGGAATTGGGGAGCGAAAGCGAGATCTCATATGCCGACGGCTTTGCCTGGTGCCATTGTCTTGCTTGTGAGGGAGGAGGTGTTTGACCGCCCCCAAAGGTTCAGTGCCAGCACCTAATTAAATGTGTACTCTGAATTGATACATATTCGTGAAAGTAGGGCTAGATCAAGTGATTTGAAGCTTGCAAGTCCATAGTTGTTTAGATCAAGGGTTAAAAATATCCCTGCGCCTTGCTTTGATGGAGCAAAGTTGGTCATTCTATAAGAATGAATAGGATTCAGGATGGACCAAGTTTGATCCATTAGTGATTTTTATGTAGACTTTTAAGATCAAGGACTATTTTGCATATTGATATTGTACAGTGTGCAAGGCTCTTAACATTATGGTCGTGGGTTTTAGCCCACGGTCGGGTTTTGGTTTACATTTTTTCTAATAATTTAATTTTAAATTCTCTTTGAATATTGTTTGAGTGATTGGATTGCTACATGTATGTTTGACAGTTCGTGTTTGAGTTTTGTAGCCTCATCTTTTCCTCTAACCCCTTACATTCTTGCCCTAAAAACAAATACGGTAAAAAATAAAGTTTGAGAAAAGAAAAAAATAAATAAATAAATAAAATAAAATAATCCACGGGCTATTCCATGTAAGCCCTAAAGGCCTAAAACCCATCTAATATAGGCTGGGCTTGCATTCTCCTGGCCGTACCTGGCCTACATCTTGGAGAGAATCAACTCCCTTTGGGCTATTTTTTCTCTTAATTATTCAGTGCATTTGAAACGATGGGCCTGTATGTACTCCATAGTAAATTATGCAATATTCTAAGAAACATGATGACACTTCCTTAATTGATTTAATAAAAAAAAATTACTTTTTCTCAAGTGAGGTTGGCTGTCCTAAATTAATCAATTTACCAAAAACATTGCCAAAATAAAATAACACTACTCAAGTATATATAATAGTAAAACATATACAAGTATAAAATTATACAATCGTGTGTAGGTCCCATGCATACAAAGAGATCCAAGCTGAAGAAAATGTCAATTGAGAGTTTGGTGGATTTCTTTTTTTTTTTTTTTGATTGATTCCTAAGACAATCGTGTCATAGCAATAAATTACTTTTATAATTATTTATCCTGTCACCTTCTCCCTTGTTAGCTCTCTCTTAATTAATCAATTGCCAAATGAGTTGTTGAATTGTTTTAAAGAAACGCCAATCGTATTGAATTGGTAGTCAAATCGATGTTTCATATACAAAGCATTATATATATAAATATATATATATTAGTCAGCTTTTCTGCCAATTGCATTAGGTTTTTATTCATTGTTGACAAGTTGAAATGGAATCAAAACGCCATATTTTCTTGTTTCATTAATTTGTCCATATCATGATTATTAAATTCTACCAATCCGGTGCGTGGTTCCAAACAATTCACCCTCCAACAAAAATTAGCTCACTGTAAATCCACCCTTAAACGGTGGAGTCGGACTCAAGGCTTTAATTCGGATGTGAAAAATAAGGAGCTCCAAAGCAAGATTAGAGAGCTGAAGGATTGTGTTGATGGGCATCAGAATGCTGAGATTTTCATATTGGAAACAGAACTCGGGGAAGCTTGGCGAGTAGAGGAATTATTTTGGAAACAAAAGTCTCAGATTGAATGGCTTCACCACGGTGATAGAAACACCCGATTTTTCCATTGTAAAGCTGAACTCCGATTCAGGAAGAACTTGATTATGGGCTTGGAAGACGCAAATGGTCAATGGCGAGATTCTAGGTCGGAGGTTCGAAGGGTAGTGGAGTCGTATTATATGGACTTATTTACAGCCTCAGGTTCTACGGTTGATAACGTGTTTTGGGACCTTGTTCCGCTTAAGGTCACGTTAGAGATGAATTAGAGTATCCTCGCTCCAGCTTCTGAAACATAACTTTTTCAGACCCCTTTAGCCATGGGTCCGTACAAAGCCCCTGGTCCGGATGGGATCACCCCATTGTTCTACCAATCCAATTGGCATTTAGTCAAAGAGGAGTTAGTTGAAGGTTTTAATTCTTTCCTTGCAGGAGGTCACATTTTGAAGGCACTTAATCAAACCAAACTGAGCCTCATTCCAAAAATTCGAACTCCAACCAAGATTTCTCATTATAGGCCTATTGTTTTATGCAATGTCATCTACAAGTTGTTCTCGAAAGTTTTAGCCAATAGATTGAAAATTTTGTTGCCAGGTTTAATTACAGAAAATCAGTCGGTGTTCGTCCCCAATCGTCTTATCCATGATAATGTTGTTTTAGCTCATGAAGTCTTACACGTCTTGAAAACTAAGAGACGAATTTACAAATCTTTCGCCATGAAGCTGGCAATGTCAAAAGCATATGATCGTGTGGAATGGGATTTTTTGGACCACATGCTCCGAAAATTGGGATTCTAAAGTTGCTGGGTTAAGGTAATTATGGAATGTGTCATCACAATTTCGTATTCAATTTCTATTAATGGTGAAAGTGGGGCACTGTTCTTTTAGTCTAGAGGGCTTCGCCAAGGAGATCCGTTATCGCCTTATTTGTTTCTTTTTTGTACGAAAGGATTATCTCTTCTGATTAAGGAAGCGGCAAAAAAAAAAAAAAAAGAAACATATTCATGGTGTGTCGCTTGGGTGGGGTTGCAGACCCATTAGCCATTTATTTTTCACTGATGATGTTGTATTGTTCTGTAAAGCTAATATCATTTAAGCCATGCACCTGAAGGCCATTCTCTCGAGGTATAGGTCTCTGACCGGTCAACTTGTCAATTTTGTAAAGTGGAGTTTATTTTTCAGTTCCCAAACAAATTGTAATGTGAAGGATCAAATTCGTAGAACTCTTGAAATCCGAAATGGAAGGTGGATTAATAAATATTTGGGACTCCCATCTATTTTTGGCAGTCCAAATTTTCCTTCTTCAATTTTCTGATGGATCAAGTCTCATCCAAAGTGAAGACCCTAAAGAGCAATTTAATGTCCAAAGCAGGTAGAGAAGTCTTGGTGAAGTCAGTAATTTCTGCGCTTCCAAATCACTCCATGCGATGCTTTAAACTCCCCCTGTCAGTGATTTCAAAGTTTAAAAGTAATTTGATTAATTTTTGGTGGGGAAGGAAATTGAGTTCCACGAAAATGAAGTGGATCAAATGGGATACTCTATGTGAGAAAAAGGTCGATGGTGGTTTGGGTTTCCGAAACCTAAAAGCCTTTAATCTGGCCTTACTTTCGAAAATGGCATGGCGTTTAGAGATTGGGGACAATTCTTTGTTGGTTAATACTCTCAAACAAATGTATTTCAGACACGGTACTTTTCTGTAATCTGATTGTAAAAGGAGAATCTTAATGCCACCAAACCCATAATCAATTTGGGTTTAAAAGTGTAGAATTGGTGACGGACAGTCTGTTAATATTTGGTCTGACCCTTGGTTACCGGGTAATGCTCCTTCTAAAATCTCTTCTAAGAGAAATGGGTTATTAATCTAAAAGGTGTCTGAGTTGATTGATGCGCCGACTCATTGTTGGAAGATGGATGTTATCAACACTATTTTCAATCTCCGTGATAGAGGGAAAATTTTGCAAGTCCCCGTCAGTTTGGACAGGCGAAAGATAGGAAGTTTTGGGGTTGGACGAAGTCAGGGGTTTTCTCTGTCAAGAGTGCGTATTTTGTGGCTTTACGGTACATAAAGGGATGTAATGCCGCTAAGCAAACACGTGTTCCCCCAGAAACTGAATGTAGTTATTCCTCTCATTTCATGAACATGTAGAAGGATGTTTGGAAGATTTTGGCTGTTAGGAAAGTTCAATTCTTCTTGTGGCAGTGTTTATATGAGAAGATTTCTGTGAATACCAACTTGAAAGCTAGAAGGATGGTGGAAAATTCGGTATGTACGAGATGTTACCTTGATGCTAAATCAGTGGATCATTTGTTGTGGCTTTGTCCTTATTCTTAAATTGTATGGAAATTGAGTCCTCTTCTGTTGGATTTTAGCAATTCTGGTTCTATTCCTTGGCCCAGACGATGGTGCTCACCGGTGGAAATTTGGAAGGAGAGTGGTGTTCTTCCTGAATGCGGGGGTCTTGTCGCTTTTATTTGTTGGCATATATGGAAAAGTAGAAATACTTGGGGGTTTCATTCAACTAAGATTGATCCCAAAGTAATTCTAGATTATGCCTTACGAGATTTTTCTGAACATAGGGCAGCTAAAAGTTATGTGCACCTTTTATCTCCCCAACCCACTTCTGGTATCGCCTCTTGTTTTTCTTGGCTCCCTCCTCCTGAAGGTGTCACTAAGATAAATATTGATGCATCTTTTAACCCAAAGACTAAGGAAAGCTATGGGCTCTGGTTATACGTGATCACAAGGGTGTGTTGCACAGAATTGATTCAATTTATTTCTCCCATGTTCCTTTTGCTATAGTGGCTGAAGGTTTACGTTGTGTATGGCTCTTAAGGCATGTTTGGATTAGAATTTGTTCAATGTTATTATTGAGGGCGACTGCAAATCTGCCATGCATCTCTATCCGCTGGAGATGTCCATGGGTGTCATTGTGGAATATTGCCGGAGGTTGCTTCGCCAAAGTGAGAATATCATGTTGCAATGTATCCCTCAAGAGGGGAATTCTTCTGCTCATGAAGCTTGCAAGTCTGCTCCAAAGGTCTTGGGGCTTTTGCTGCACTGGCCTTCTGTCCTTTCGAATGTCTCAAGGGCGCTATTTTCTGATGCTTCTTTTATGGTATAGTTTTTCTGTTTCAGTTCTTGTGTTGTTTAAAAAAAAGAGGGGGGGGGGGGGGGGGGGGTTTAATTTCACTGACACTCCCTAAGGTTTAGGCAAATATTAGTGTAAAACATCTTTCGAAAATAATTATCAGTTATATCCAATTTCACTTTTCTGTTGCTGTCTCCATTAAAAACGTGAGAAAAGACATGTTTGTCCCTAATTTTTTAATCACATTTAATACAAAATATCAGATAATATAAATGACTCTTACACCCCTCATTAAACTCTCACCTACCTACTCTCCCGCCAATACACAAACACATTATTTCTCTCTCCACTATCTTTATTTGTATCGGACGTTCTCTCTCCTTAAGGACGCTTCTGTCTGTCTCTCTTTTTTCTGTCTATCAAAACCACTCTTTTTCTTCTCTACAGATGCGACCCACGGATTAACAAAACCATGAAACCCTAGCTAGTTTCAGAGTCGTAATTCTAGAGTCCAAACTTCATACTATCACAAACTCAAAACCATCTTCCATCCAAACTAACTATCTTCTCCACTAGCGAGCTTCATTTAGATCCACCATTTCCGGCGAATACAGAGAGCTTCGATTTAATCAACAGCAGGTTATGGGTTATGGGTTTGATGAACAATGCAAAGTGCTTGAACCTCTGCCGCTGGCTTGACACCTTCCTCGCCGGCGAGGTTTGCAACATCACCGCCTGCCCCACTTTGATGCCCAACATTATTTCCTTCCACTTTCTCATCCAAAATTAGGGTGTATTTTTTTTTTTTTTTTTTTTTTTTTTTTGCATTTGTTTGTTTAATTTGTTGAAATCCCTTTGTTTCAGTCATCTCCATTTGAAATAGATCGTTACATGTATGTATGTTTATCTATATATTATTGATATATAAATGTATGTAATTGAAATCCTTTTGTTTCAGTATGTAATTGAAATTTGAGAACTGCCCCTTCCCATCTCGAATTTTGGCCAACGCGATCAAACCATCTCGAATGCACACGCTGTCTCTCTCTCTCTATTTCTCTTTATATCCATATATCATGAACCTTCATAACATCTAGCTAATTAATGATTTGTTTTCTTATATATATATATATATATATATATATTAATTTCAATATCTCAAGGGGATGGAGATCCAATACTGATTATTTTGGACATGATTTGGTGTTACACTGCATGTCATTGGAATCCAAGAGTCTATCTCAACAATACCCATATTAATAGTAAAATTCAGTCTCAACATAGTCATTCTCAATTATCAATATCCAGGAATTAATTTATCATGTTCATAGTAATAGTAAATTGATTCAGTGATTAATTTATCATGTTCATTACCATACTCTCTCTCTCTCAACTGTAATAATTAGGCATTTTGCTTCCAATTAATTATTACCACCATTGGTTATTGATACCAAAACATAGTGAGAGAAATATAACCGGAAAATAGCACAGGGAAAACAAGACCCATTCTCGGCAACAGCAGTGAACGGTAAAAACTCAACCGATAATGCTCAAATAACATGCTCAGACAATGTGGCTTCCGTCCTGCGGCGCTGCGAGAGGCATGTGGTCAAGCTCGGAACAATGGGTCTCTGGACCGTCTTCCTTCCTCGCCGTAACAGGTTTTAGTCAGCAATTTCCATGGTGAAGGTTGAGCTATAGAATCTAACAAGCTCTTGCTGGGACTGGATTAGGGATGGTCGCCGGAACTAAGAACAATGATGATCTTTGAAGGTTAGAGAAGGGCAAAAATGTCATTAAAATAATGGAAGGTAATTTAAGTATCTGAATGAGGGTAAATATGTCATTTCAATCATTAAAGAAATAATTAAATGGGTCAAACCAAAGTCAAAGGGTAAGAATGTCTTTTTACATGTAAAAAGTGATCTGACACACTTGTCAACTAACTTTTAGGGTGTGAGTGAAGAACGGAACAAATGTTTGTAATATGAGTAACAATTATTTTCGAAAGATGTTTTAGACTGGTATTTGGCTAAACCTCAGGAAGTGTCAGTGAAATTATCTTAAAAATAAAATAAAATAAAATACTACCAATCAGCATAGTTTCTAAACAACAGACCAATTACTTCCCTCCATTTCAATGATCTGGGTGTGCAACGTAAGAAATACGATTTCTATATATATATATATATATTTTCTCCTATCACGATTAGACTTACATAAATATTAGACTTACATATAAATATTTTCTCCTATCACGATTGTTGTTTTTGTATATCTTTATATATATATATATATATATATATATATATATATATATATTCGAGTCTAGATCTTCTTGTCTAACATTTACTTTTCAACTCATTACATTTAGTTTACATTTTACAGCGCAGTATATCATACTTAAAAAAAGTACACGTCATGATATTAAAATTTTCTCCTTATATTTTTTATATATCACTTTTTTGTTTTTTTAGTCGGTTAGTTTTCAACTTGAACAACATTAGACTTGCATAGTTTTCGTATATCTTTATGTCATTTCTATGTTAAAAATTAGGAGTGATCACGGTTTTGGTTTCGATTCCTTGCTGTTTTGGTTGGAATTGGTTCGGTTTTGGTTTCGATTCCTTACTGTTTTGATCTAAATCGGAATCAGAACCGTTTACACTGATTCCTTAAAAATGAAACCGAAACCTAAACCAAAATCGTATTAGTATCGGTTCCGGTTCCTAACTATATACTTTTCTCCTGTTGTGTGTGTATGTGTGTGTGTGTGTGTGTGTGTGTGTAGAGAGAGAGAGAGAGAGAGAGAGAGAAAGTTGTTAATCTGTAGTCGGGAGTAGTAACAAGCAGCCCGTAGTCATTCAATAATGGTCTGGAATAAGTCAATTGATAATCCAATTCCATGGATATCCAGTGCACCATTTGAAAAACAAGAAAAACTGGGAAGCAAGCCATTAATATTTAATAAGGCTTCGACTCTGCAACTTGAGAGACTCCTATAATAAATCTCTCATCGCCGTCGTCGTCGTCTGTCATTGCCGTGCCCTAATCGTCATCGTCTGTGGTTAATCTGCCATCGCCGTCGTCCTCATCGGCTACGTCGCTGACTTCGGCCGCCTCTTCGGCGACTCCTACAATAAATCCCCAAAAACCCGCGCCACCACCATCTTCGTCGTCGCCAATAACATGCTTCAAAGCCCCTGCCGTGCCTTTCTCACCGACGTCTCCGTCTATAACTAAAGCAAAAACCCAAAACGTAGCCGCCAACGCCTTATTTTCCTTTTTCATATGTTAGGTTTAGGTTAACTTCCTTTCCTTTGTCATGTTTACAACTTTAGAGCATCTGGGGCGCTATCCAAAATAGAGAGAGAGGTGTCAGTATAGAAAGAGAATGGAACGGTATGCTGAAAGAATTTAACCAACTTTATTGTGGGCCCTACAACCACACTCTACATCATGCTCCACAGACAGAGAACCATTTAGACAATACTCCACTTTTTTTTTTCTTTGTTTAAAGCAAAAGGCAGCTTCAACGAAAATAAAACAAAAGGCAGCTTCAACGGAAAAAAACAAATTACATTTTTTTTTCTTTCTTTTTCTATCTCTGTGTAATGTAATTTTTATTTATATATGTAATAGATATTTCTTTAAATAATAGTTTATTTAAATTTTTTAACAAATCTAATCGAAACAAATATTTTTAAAAATATTTTTTATTCAACAGCAATATGAAAATTACATTTTATTCAATTACAACAAATTTAAACATCTTCATTACCAAATTGATTCCACAAATGTTCCATGAGATCTCTCCTAAGATCAGCATTGTCTGATCTATTGCGAATCCTACTAAAGCGAGAGGAAATGTGTGCCGCCAACATTGATGGGTTTCGAACGTAATGTGGAAGGGAGATTGAGTCATCTGTCGAAGTTATCCATTGCAAAATGTGTTCGCCCTCGTCTTCAATGATCATATTGTGTAACATGATACACGTTCTCATTATCTTGTTTAGATCTTCTGTATTCCAATAAAGTACCGGTTGATGCGTTATAGCCCACCTCATCTGCAACACGCCGAACGCCCGTTCTACATCCTTCCTAACAGTTTCTTGTTTGTTAGCAAATAATTTCTCTTTGACTGTTGTTGGGTGCGGGATGGTCTGCATCAAAGTTGCCCACTTAGGATATATACCATCAAATAGGTAATACCTCATTGTATGCCGATGCCCATTTACCACGTAATTAACTGGAGGCATTGAACCATTGATCATGCTTTTGAATACTGGGGAATGATCGAGAACATTCAAGTCATTATGTGAACCAGCCATACCAAAGAAAGCATGCCAGATCCACAGATTTTTCGATGCAACAGCCTCCAATATGAGGGTAGGCTTATGACTTCTTCCCGTGTGCATGCCATGCCATGCTGTGGAGTAGTTCTTCCATTCCCAATGCATACAATCTATAAAGCCAAGCATACCTGGAAAACCTCTCTCTTCCCCTTCTCGAAGCAGACGTGCAATGTCATCTGCATTTGGTGAGCGTTGGTACTGCTTCGCATACACAGCAATTATAGCATCACAAACCTCTTCAAGCTTTCGATCGCAATGCGCTCAGAAATCTTTATATACTCGTCACAAAGATCAGCCGAAATTATATATACGAGTACACGGATTGCAGCAGTCATCTTCTGTATAGGAGTGAACCCCATACGACCGAGGGCATCGGGTTTCTGGATGAACCATTCGTCATATGTTGTAACACCATTCAAAATGCGAAGAAACAACTCTCGTCGCATCCGAAACCTTCTACGAAATATGTTTGGTGGATAAATCGGATTTTCAACAAAGTAATCTCGGAGTAGCCGTTGTGCTGCCTCCTCTCGATCACGTTTAATATACTTTCTCTTACGAGGTTGAAAGAATGCCCGCACCTTATCAGGCGATAATAATCTGCTCACATCGTTCATCCTTTTTCGATGGATTTCAAAAATATCTTCCCCATCTGAATCTGACGAATTCAATGGAGAAATAGACTCAGAGACGGGTACATCTCGTGACGATGAAGCCATTGTTTTTTTGTATAAGAAATATGAAGACTCAAAGAATAGAGAATGGGCTTGAGAATGCAAAGAAGTGGACTTGATAATTGAAAGAAGATAGAATTGAAAAAAAATAGAATGAGTGGTTTATATAGAAATTGAAAGAACAAATAATGTACTTGAGAATGCAAAGAAGTGGATTTCATAATTGAAAGAAGATAGAAGAGTGGTTTATATAAAAATTGAAATATAGCCATGGGGAATATAGCCATTGGGAATATAGCCGTTAAGAAGAAGACAAAAAATTATTAAATTCAAATTTGAATTTTTTATTTTATTTTAAAATTAAATTAATAAAATAATAAATAGAGGATGAGATAATTGGGTTCCACACCATGGAACATATGCATAAAAAAAAGTAAAGTACCATACTATTACTTTTTAGCTTACGTGGCATTTTACTTTTTAAAAAATAGATATATAACTTGTGTTGCCCACACCACTTGCTCTTACATATGCAACTTTACAAAACAAAAGGACAAGATGAGTCAGATGACCACGTGATAAGTGACTGATTGTTGGAAGTGGAGTAACCAAGTTATGTATGTCAGTAATTAGTAGTAATATATACAATTAAATATATAACTATATATATAACAGTTTCGGTTCTCAACTGTTCTCATGGATCTGGAACCGAAACTGGAACCGTAAGCCATAGTTCCATATTTTTGGAATCAAAACCGGAATCGGAACCGAAACTATGAGAACCGAAATCGAAGCTCACGGTTCGATTCGGTTCTTACGGTTCCACGGTTCTTTTGTGCACCCTTATTAAAAATACACAATTTTTTCAACCTCAAAGAACGGATTGATAACAAGGGTGGAGCCAAAAATATAAAGTTGGGAGAGACCAAACTTCTAGTATAAAATTGAATTTTTTTAAAAAAGAAAAATTGAAACAAAATTTTTTTTACTGTTTTTTAGACTTTTTTTATTCGTTAACGTGTCTATAAATGATATGTAAAAAAAAAAAAAAAAAAAAAAAAAATTGAAGAAAAGAACATATAACAGTTGATAAATGAAGTTGTCAAATTAAAATATATATATATTTTTTATTTTTAATTCATAAAAAAATATATATGTGTGTATGTGTGTGCAGTGTACGCACATGTATATATATATAGAGTACTATATAATAATAAAACTGAATATTGTATGAAAGATATGAAGAGTACTCATATGTTATAGCAAGATTGCAATAATAATCTTCCCAAAAAACAAAACAAAAAAAAGATTCGTTAGACTTTGAGAAAAACAAGTAATTTCTTTTGCAAAATATCTTTAATAATTATAAATAAGTGACAAAAATAAGTATTTTTTAAAAATTTGGGAGGCCAATTTTAATTTTTCTCAATAATAAAATGTAAGCATTCTCAATTGTTTATTATTATTTTTTCTTTTATGTGATTGTTGTGTTTTATGAATAACTAGATGTAAGGTTTGTATCAATCGTAATCTAACTTAACTATTTTAAATAAATATTTTAGAAAGTTAGCAATAAGTCCTGCCTTTTGCTTTATTGATGGAGAAGTTCTATCAATTAAAATAAAATCATTAAGTTTTCATAGAATGAAAAATGATAGAATTAAACGTAAATATGACATTGCTAATTATTCATTTCAATTGAACAGGTCATTCACTCTCTCACTTTAATTCAAATTTCAAACACATTAAATTTTATATTCGTACTTGTTATTTACACACATATACACATTCTGTATGTAGGATTCGAATACGCCAGTGCACTCTTTGCGCGCTTGTGTGACTTTTATTTCTTAGAAGGAATAGCACTACTCTTTCCGTATTAATTCTAAATTCAACTTTACCATTTTTTATTTTATATTAAATAGTTATAGCCAATTTTATTTTTATATAAGAGTTTTTTTTTATTACAATATCATTTTGGTAAACAGCACACGTAAATCCACACAATTTTGTCCTTACTTAAATCTTTTCATTGTAGGACAGAGAGGTTGCACCACCTGTACCAATATCCGGTTGGTAATACTAATCTTCTTCTTTCTTTTTTTTTTTTTTTCATTTTTTTCAAATTAATTTAAATATATTTTTAAATAGATTAATTATTTAATAGTTAAAATAAAATTTAGAGTTGCTATGAAAACACTATAAGTTTTTTAATGATTAAAAAAGTTAATTTAAATGGAAAAATAATTTTTTTAAAAAAAATTTGTAATAATTGAAACTTTTAAATTTTAATCTAAGAAGAATAAAGGGTTTGCTTAGTGTAAGAGTAAAAAAATAAATGGGTGGCATGTGATGGGGTAGAATTCAAAATCATGTTTGGTAAGGAATTTTTTTTTTTATTTTAGAAATTCAAAAAATTATTTTAGTTTATTCATTACAATATCAAAACAGATCATATTATTATGTATAATATGATTTTAAAATTAAATATTAATATAAAAAAATAATATTATAATACATGTCAAACGAATTATTTAATTGTATTTTGATTTTTAACATGGTGGGTTCCAGTATCACTCGGAGACGAATTAAAGAAATTTCCTTGTAAACTGTGTTTGAATACTTTACTTATTTTATTGCTATTTATTGTTGGTGGGCTAGAAATTAGAATTGATATCAAAGCCTTATCTACAACTCCTCGTGAATCAAAATACACGTGGCATTTGTCTGGGCATTTTGATTTCGTCGGACGCCGGCAATGCAGTCTGTCGCGTACTTAATACTGATGTCATCCAAACTTAACGCCCTCTCCTCTATATCCATTCCCGTCCAAAGTCACAAATGCCCTTCAACATTGTAGCTAAATAAAAAACTGAATTCTCTCACCTAAAGTGAATTTCACTTCTTTTTTCTTTTTTTAAGTTGGTCAAGATTAATTGAAAAACAAACATTTCTTATTATATATAAAGGTAAGAGAAACAAAATGAAAATAGTAAATATGTTGATTGTTGAGGACGTTTATTATATAAAAGAGAAAAATTAATATTATCCTTTTTTATTGATAATTAAATTAGAAAAATCTTAAAATTTCTTACTCATGGATTTTTTTTCAATTAATTGTGATGAGAAACCTATACCTTTTCATTTTATTTCTTAAGAAAATAATTTTCAATAAAATAGAGAAAAAGATGCAAGAACAATCATCTAAAATCGTGCATCTGCGTAAGTAATTTATAATACAAAATAATTCTGAAGAACTCAGCGTACACATAAACCAGTTTTTTGAGAATGGCAAAAGATAATCATTTAAAAATAATTTTTTTATTATAATTGAATTTTTAGAAAACTAAACCAAGCATAATTATTGTACAATTTTTTAATTTTTAATTCTCAAAAAATAAAAACTATTTTTTTAGTGAGAAAATAATATTTCTTAAAAAGAAATGATAGGTCTTTCGACCTCAATTGCCAACTCTTTCTCCGAATACAACGTGATTGGATCATGTTGAAACTTTTAAAAAAAATCTCGTAAGCTTTTCTATCTTTTCGACTCATTTCCAACCACATTGTATGAGGAGGAGGAGTTGAAAATTGAGGTCGAAAAACCTATCATTACTTTTTCTTAAGAAAATAATGCCAACCAAATTTCTATTTTAAAAGTTTTCTTAATATAACATTTTCTTAATAATTTTATGCAACAAATATTTTCTTATTCATGAAAACATATATAAATTCACATATTTCTATTTTAAAAGCTGGGAGTGCAATTTCTGGATTATTATGATTCATAAGTCCATGTTTGATTATTATCCATACATGAAAAGTAAAAACTATAAATAATACCAAATTTAATACTAGGATTTAAGAAAAAAATGGAACAGTAATGGTCCTTTCCTTTTAATGATTTATTTGGGTATTTTAAGTCGTTAAAATAATTTCAAATAATTAAGTATAAATTTTCAAAAGAAAAAAAAAAAAGTTTATAATGCAAAAGGTAGTTTGGATATAATAAAATAAGAGATGATCTATTAATTAGTTTAGGAACTTTTTTGTTATTTATTTAAAGATAAAATAAAAGTGTAGTGCAATTGTAAAAATTTGGAGTGGGAATATGGGCACCCTAAAAAAATTATAATAATAAAATGAAATGATGTTTTCTGTGCCATTATGTGTTTTAGTAGGGTTATACGTGCCATTTCAGTAAAAAAAAATCATTTCCCTGTATAATCTGAACAATTGGTTCAGTCTTCAATATATCTCTCCCCCTCTAAGCAAAAAAAATCTCTTATCTTCTCACTTCTTTCTCCTCCTCTATCATATTCCTTGTCTGTTAACAACAATTTAAGTCTCTCTCTCTGTTCGAAATCACTTTTTTTTATTTTTTTATTTTTTCCTTTGATCGGTTCAACTTTAGGGCAAATTCGACGCCGATCAATCTTTTCTTAACTTGATCTGATAATTTCATTTGAGTTTCTTCTATCTCAGCTTCAATTTCAATCAATATCTTCCTCGCCGTAAATCTGAGCTTAATTTGCCGGAATTTTCGATTCTCGAGAAAATTACTAGAAAAAAGTCGGAAAATCTATTGTTTTTTTTCTGTCTTTAGCTACGATCGGTGATTTTTCGGAGTTTGTTGGGGTTCAGAGGGCCTTTCAGGTGTGATTAAATCTCGTTTCTATATATATATATATATATATATATATATATTCTGAATCTCTGGATTGAACAGTCATTAGCATGGTTTCAGTTGGAGTATGACTTAATTGAGTGATAAATGAAATATATATTTCCTAAATGTTTAACAAAAATAATTCTTATTTATCGAACTACTCTTGCTGATTGCGGGTCTTTTGTCTTCGATATCACCTGAAAAAAAAAAAACAACCCTGGTGGAGTTGGTGGGTCAATTTTTATTTATTAATCAGGTATTTTGAAAGAGATGGCATAAGAAGATCGGGAGGTTAGAGCACAAAAGAGAGGGTCTGTGTGATTGTCTTAAGCTGTAGATACATATATAATTTGGTTATATTTCCTCAATAATGATCTGTTTCTTGTGATCATGAAAATTTACAGATATATATAGAACTTCATTAATCGCATACTTGCATGTTACTTCCTTGGCACTCAGTAGTGTATTGGTAGTTTGGTTAATTATTAGATTCTTTCTTATAGATAGATTGACCCATCTTATATATATGTGTGTGTGTGTGTATATGCATATGTATTTACTTACTGTTATCGTAATTATATGTATTGAATGAGCTTGATTAAAATTTTGTTGATAGATAGTTTAAATTTATTTAAGTTTGCATATGATTGGGATAGAATTTTTCTGTGATCATAATTATTTTCTTTTCTCATGAATCATAAAGGAGGTGAGATGTGTTCTCTACAAGGACCAGCAGTTATTTGCCCCACTGTGCGTGGAAAACAAAATGGATTTTATACCCTTCCTGTCAATTGGCCCTTGACGAAGGTTAGCATTCTTAGAAGTGGATTCTGGGGATTCAAAGGGATCAACAGTAATAGGATCAATAATGTGTGCCATCAACTGCGAATGCGGAAGTGCAAGACAGTGCAGTGCAGCTTCAGTTCATCATCTGATGGTAATGGTAGCATGGCAGAGAATTTTAATGAAAGTGATGAAGATTATGTGAATTCCAGTGTTGTTGAAGCTGGTATGCTAATTTTGATTGAACACTTACTTATTTTGTTAAATTTCATAAAATTGTACTTCATCTTTTGGCATATTTGGCTGTGAAATGCACTTTATGATATTTATGTTAAAGAAAACATTCAAAATATTCAAATATATCCGGAGTATTGGCGGTATGCTTTCGTACAACTAAATGACAAACTGAAAAGATCGCTGAGAGCCCTCGCAGCCCAGGCATAACGACGCAATTATCAGGGGCGCACTTGCTTTGCTTTCGTGCAACTAAACAACAAACTGAAAACATCGCTGAGAGACCTCACCGCTCAGGCACGACGACACAATTATCAGGGGCGCACTTGCATTGCTTTCATACAACTAAATGACAAACTGGAAACATTGTTTCTATGAATGAAAACTGTTGGGAATATGGTATGTTAGTCATTGTGCATTTTGCCAGAATAGTAAATATGGAAATCATCTTTTGACGTTCACTAGTATATTCTTTGTATATTGGTCGCTGAGAGCCCTCACTGCCCAGGCCAGGGGCGCACTTGTGTTGCTTTCGTACAACTAAACGACAAATTGGTAACATTGTTTCTATTAATGAAACTGTTGGGAATATGGTATGTTAGTCATTGTGCATTTTGCCAAAATAGTAAATATAGAAATCATCTGTTTGATGTCCTCTGAACACAAGTAACACTAGTATATTCTTTGAATATTGGTTCCAGAGGCAAATTTTGCAACCAAATTTCTGCACTATTTGTACTTTAATCCATTTCAGAAAACAAAAAAACTGTCGTTAAAATGGGAAATTAGGAACAAAAAGAAACTTTATTATATTTTGGGTCTTGGTCCTTGTACTTGCATTATATTTTCATATTTATGGACTCTTTAATCCTATTATAATATTATCATTGATATATTTCATAGTGGGATTTGTTTTACTCCCAAGTTCTATAGTTCTAAGAAGTGTACAGTTGGGCTGCATACATCACAATGCTTAACTTTATTCTGAGTAGCAATGAGTGTGACTCTGACTGATGTTTGTGTTATCTGGTTGTTCCATATAGTTGAGGTGAAGAGTGGCCCAGATGGTTTCATGATAAAAATGAGGGATGGTAGGCATTTAAGATGTGTCCATAACAACCCTCAGGGTGCGCATCTTCCAGATTACACTCCGCATCCCGCAATTGTTCTAAAGATGGAAGATGGAACCGGTCTTCTCCTCCCAATAATTGTTTGTATGTGCATAAGGAATATTATCTTTCTAAAATTTGAGCGATGTTCTTTCAGAAAAAAAATTATACTCTTTAACTTTTTCTATATTCAAGTATGGTTTGCATTTAATTGCAGTGGAAATGCCAAGCATGTTGCTTATGGCAGCCGTGCGCAATGTTCAAATAGTATGTCCTTCACCCCTATTTTGGCTGATTAAGCTGTCAAATTTAACTTAGGCAACGTCTTGATTTTTATCTCAAATTCTTGTGCTTAAAGATATATCGGTGACTATTTTTCAGGCTAGGCCCACTATGTATCAAGTGGTGAAGGAGATGATTGACAAGATGGGCTATACGGTAAGTTCTTTTTTGATTCTTTCAGCTCTCATGGGTCACAACTAGTGAATGCCACATGGTGTTCAATACCTTAACAGTCCTTCCCTTTCAACTTCCACTCTGATATACTTGTTTTCCTCTTTTACAGGTGAAAGTTGTTCGAGTCACCAAGAGAGTGCACGAGGCATATTTTGCTCAGTTGTACCTCACAAAGGTATATACCTATTATATCCTCGTATTTCATTTTACCGACTTAAGATTAAATTTTACAAACTTTACTGAAATTGTGGTGATCGTGATCGCAGTTGGGAAATGAAAAAGAGTGTGTCAGCTTTGATCTTCGACCTTCAGATGCCATTAACATTGCAGTAAGATGCAAGGTACTATTGCTATGTTGTTAGTGTAAATTGTTTGCTCTTATCTTCTGTAGTTCTATTTTTCTCAAAGGAATCAGCTACTTTAGCCACTTCAATAATACCAACGGGCAGTGGCCTAGCGGTGTCAACCTCTTACCACCCAAAGGGAGGTTAGGGGTTCAAGTCTCAGAAGAGACAAGTGTGTGAGTTACCAACTAGGAAAAAAATAAAATAAAATAATTCTTGCAATAATTTTGCCATTGCAAAGGTTGGATTGTGCGTAATTTTAGATATTGCAGCTACTTCTCCAAATCTTATGAGATAAAAATGTTTCTGGCAATCAAATCATTAAAAATAAAATGCAAAACTATTGATTAAGTAATAATGTCTGCTAAAAGTAAGGGCTGTTAAACATGGTCCTTTGGCGGGATAATTCCAGAACTCGGAGGGAAATCAGCAGTATGTCAGCTTGTTGCAAAATGAACCAGTTGGAAGAGGGAGAGGAGGATAAATAAAAGAAAATGAAAATTATCTGATGCATGTCAACTGTATAGATCACAATGGTGACTAGCTTGTCCTGAATGGCTGATTTTAAATTTCCTGAGCCAGAAGGCCCAAAACGGCACAGGAAAATAGAAATGGTATTGTGTTTTATTACTGAACGTTCTGAGGAGATTATTATATTAACACAGAATAAGGAAAGTAAATTTGAACCCACTGGATGGACCCAACTGTTCTTGATTGGTGGTAGGAAGATAGAATGTTGCCACCCAGCCCCTAAAAGATAACCTCTATATGCACACATACACAAACAAAAATAGAAAGCGGAGGCCAAGCTTGTTAGTGCCTTTCCTTTTGCATTTACCTTGGCATAATGTCTTATAGCCCCTACATGCGCACATACAGCAACAAAAATAGAAAACAGAGGCGAACAGGGATGTTATTGCCTTACCTTTTGCATATACCTTGGCATAATGTTTTTGTATGATATTTTGGCTTTACCATTGGAATTGAAGTTTTAGGAAATCCTGGTAAGTGTATGCTTATTTGAATAACAATAACTAAGTTGCTTGTGATTGTGAGTTGATTTCACAAATTCAAATTTACATTGGTATACACAATTGGGAGTAGGACGTCTCTTCCTATTGTGGCAATAAGGGACTGATTATGGGTAAATCTCTAAACTCTATACTGGCATTTGGGTTTGAGTGGAAAGAAGTGGGAAAGAAGGAAACAATTGATTATAAGTTTCATCTTGAAAATGGATAATAAAAGTAGGCAAGTAAAATAGTGGATAAACAGGAAATGTCGGCAAAAACAGCCTCCTACTGCTCAAAATTTGAACTTGGTTCAGCCATTAATTCAAATTGGGCAGAGGTAGTAAATCAACACAATGTTCCTAATTATTTTTATAATTTTCTTTTGTGCTGCCTATTGTCCAAAGACACTGATTGTGAACATAATGTGTGTGTATCTCCTTATGCGGGTATCCACACTGGAGTTAAAGTGCTTTATAGAATTTTAATGCTACCAATAGGCCAGTCGCCTAGCGATATCAGACTTCTACTTTTCAAAGGGAGGTTAGGGGTTTAAGTCTCGGTGGAGGCATGTGTGTGTGAATACCAACTAGGAAAAAAAAAAAAAAATTGAAACAAAGAGAAAATGCACTCAAAATTTGCAAGCTTAAAAGTAGGAATTTTGCATGGGTTAAAATTAGGTCTTGCACGCTTACTCATGATTTTCGTACTCAAAATTTGCAAGCTTAAAAGTAGGAATTTTGCATGGGTTAAAATTAGGTCTTGCATGCTTACGCATGATTTTCATTAACTGACAGAAGCTTCCTCAACCCCCAAAAAATCTTTTCTGCAGGTGCCAATACAAGTGAACAGGTACTTGGCATATAGCGATGGGATGCGAGTCATTGAATCTACAAAGTTCATGCAGTCTTCTTCTTCAGATGGCTTACTATTCACGGAACTTGACCGGTAGATATTAAATTCCTTACTAATTGCCATATTTCCTTTGATTGGGGGCCAGTCTATGTATTAGATACATGCAGGAATTTTATTGTGTTAGGGAGCTGTAGTTTGGATGATGCTTTGTACTTTCAGACAGACTGTGCTCATACTGTTGGATGGGATTTATAGGAATGGTATTGTGACTTGTCTATGCTGACCCATAAATGATAGGATTTGACAATTAGTGTCATTCGCACTATTGTTATATTTTGTGATAGATTTAGATAATGGTTAAAAGATCTTACGATGTAAATCTAGGGAATTTCGTGTTACAACCATATTAACAATGCAAGAAGATTTAGTATCTTTGTGTTTAAAATATGCCTTTGTACTGGTAAGAGGTGGTTCTAATGTAAGCTGTTATGGTTTCAGCCCTAGTGGCCAGCCATGCCTTTTGACAAAGGAATTTGATCTTGTGCACAATATGCTGATTGCTGCTCTTGAGGAACGCTACAAAGATGCAGGTATTTTTTTCCCTTGAGGTTGACATCTGTTTGTTTTGTCCACATTTAGAACAAAGTACTATAAATGATGGAAACCACTTATTCCTTTTTTTGCTTTTATGTGTTATTTGAATAAGAAGGTAGAAATTGTGGTCTGGCCGTGAAATTAAGAAACTTGCAAACCAACAATTGATGTCATGTGATTTTAGGGAGATGTGCATATTGCATCAACTGTTGGGATTGGAGACATTTCAACTTACAAAAATCATCCTTAACACTGGTTTCATGATCAGGAGAATGAGCTCCAACATTGGATCTATAAATCCTATAACATATACATATTTTTTTCATAATTTCCTATAACATATTTTGTTCTTGCAATTAAAGTACTCATTTGGAAGAAAAGGAGGATGAGCTCCACCAACATTGGATCTCATAAATCTATCACGTATTTTATTCTTGCAATTAACGTACTCATTTGGAAGGAGGATGATCTGGACAAAATCAATGAAACAAGAAAGATCTGTACTATTAATGGTGTAGATAAGGATCTTGCTTCTTTACATGATTGTTTTCAATAAATATAGGGCCAATGAAGAATATAGTGTCCTTAGACATCGTGATATCGAATTAAATTATGTTAGATTTCCTCTTCTAGTTGTCCTGCTAAGTTGGTGAACTCTATGGAACATACATTTTGCGGTTCATTCCAAATTATTCAACCTGAAACATTTCATTTCCACGTTTTTGACCACCTTTTTCTTCTTCCGTTAACTTAATAAAACCAATATATTGTCACATCAGGGTACTCAACCTCTGTGGTGCACCTCGTGAAGTTTTTAGTCTTCAATTGATTTTGAAGTTGCTCCAAGCTATTGATTCTTCAAATTTTCTCCATTCATCTTTGGGACATGACAATCCTTGGAAATTGAGCATTCTACTAGGGTTTGATGAGAAGCGAAGAAGAAGAAGAGAGGGCAAAAACCTATGAGAGTTTTTGATGGTTTTAGGGTTCCTACACCACCTCTAACACTTCTCAAGCTGGAGCATATAGATTAAACATTACTAGTTTGATGCACAATTGCTGTATGTGTTTTAGGATTTGTTTTGTGGTTCTTTTACAAAGTTGAAGTTTGTGAGAGTGTATTTCTAGGGTTAGATGAGAAGAGAGGAAGAAGAGAGTAGAAAAAATTGTGAGAGATGGTTTTTTAGAGGTTTTACGCCACCTCTCCTATTAAGCAAAATTATGGTAATTGTCTTCATAATATTTGAACAGTCTTTTTGTTTTCCCAACCTTTACCTTTATTCAACTTAATGGCAGTTTGGGATTTCAGTCATTTCTTTATATTCCACAACTCTCTTGTGCATTCAAAATGATATATTAACATTTGGGCAGTTCAAAAATAAATCTTTCTGGCTTGAGAATGACCTGGTATTGTTGGATTACGGGGGAAAATCTAGGAAGCTGGTTTATGATATTCTGATTTTTTTCCCTTCTTTTTCTTTCATTCCTCTTTTTTTCCCCTGGTAGTTGTGCACCTTTTGCAGCCCAATTTGATTAGTCCTCGTTAACATTCGAGTTCTATGGTGTACAGCTCAGTGGAGGGACAAACTAACTCAATTTCGGTCGCAGAGGAACTGGACATAGCAGACATAGCAGGTATACCCGTGTCATCTCTCCGGTTGTCATTGTTACTCTTGATTAACTTGGAGTTGCATCATGGCTACATTCTCTCGCTCTCTCGGGCTCACGCATGCACGCTCCTTTTCCAATCAAATTGACAATTCCATATTCATTTTCAGATGTTCCTAGAGGATAAAATTTGTATATAGAGACAATTGGACAAGGCCATGAAGATGATGATATCTGCCTGGACTTACAGTAATCAAATGGTGTCTATCAGCTTGTATGTATTTAGTCGTGAATATCTGTATAGATGTACAAACATTGTTAATGTGATGTTGAACATGTGAAACTTGCTCATTTCTGCATATATGTTCCGTGGATTATTCTCATCCTATTCGGTTCGGTTCAAGAGCAATTTCTTTGTATTCGTTTCCTGAGTTATTTGCACTTTGATTTCATTGCTAATTCCTAAACACTACTTATATTGTTTAACCTTGTTATAAACTGTTAGATGCACAGCTACATTGTCCTTCATATGGCGGCGTATTATATTTTCTCCAAAGCTGTATTAATTTTACCCATGGATATATTAAAAGTGGGGAAATGCTACTTTTGAAATGAATTATATTGTTATAACCCTTCATTTGAAAATTCAATTGGTACACAATAGCCACGTGTGGTGGTAATAATAATACTAATAATAATAGGACAAGAGTAACCGAATTTTATATTCATCGTTCGAATGGCGGTCAAAGAGCATCTTTTCAATCAAAATTGAGGAACAGGATGGTATATGTGGTCATAATCAAACTTATCTGAATTGTTCTTTTGATGAAATTCAAGGAAATTTAGATCCCCATTCACATGGAATTTGACAGTTTTCTCAAGTACTTTCAAGCTGAGTGTGATTTTACATTCAAAAAGATGAGTTGTTTGTGGAATTTTTACACCCACTTAAAAAGTTGGAAGATTATCTGCTGCACATCTGATACTCCACTTGAATGCATTGGAGCACTGTAAAAGATTCGACCCTCATATTCTGTTTACACGATCAAAAAACGATATCAATTTCACTAAAAATTGCTTCTACCCCAAAAAAAAACGAAATCAATTTCACTAAAAATTGCTTCTAACCCTTCTAAAATGTTACTTCAATTATCAATCTTAATATTAAGTTTGAGTTTGGGAATGAGTTCGAGATCAAATCCGAATTGGTTACACGAGCAAAACTAATCCCTCAGGTTTGAGGAATACTGTTTAAACTGCACTTGAATATTAGTACTCTCTCTGTCCCAGAAAGAGTGTCATGTATTAAGAATTGTGACTCACAGAAAGAGTGTCATGTATTGGGATCTGTGACCCACAAAACATGACACTCTTTGTGGGATAGAGAGAGTATATAAACTAATGAATTCAGATATCTCTGACCACTTTTGTGCACAAATAGTCCCTCATTTTATAAAATGTGCATTTTAGTCCATAAAATTAAAAAAATGTGCAAATGAGTCCCTCTAACCACTTTTTGACAAAAAAATAAATATGAAAATCCGATTTTACCCTTTTTGTTACTATTTTGCCCCTAAAGAAGTCTTTACACAAAATATATACACATAATATATATATATATATATATATATATATATATATATATAGAGAGAGAGAGAGAGAGAGAGAGGGAGAGAGAGAGAATGGGGAAGAGGGGAAGAAGAAGAAGTGGGTGGTTGCCAACTCCACTATGGCTGCACACCACCACAACCACCATCACCATAGTTATACCTGCCCTAATCCATGACAACCCAAACCCACCATCACCCATCGTCGTTGCCACTGCCACCAACACCGCCCACCATTTCTTTCTTTCTCTCTCTACTCACCACTGAAACCTCGACACCATAACCACCACCATTGCCGTAAAAAACAAAACCATCCTTTCAGCATCTGTAACAAGCAAAAATTCCTAACCCATCTCACTAAATCTAAACCAAAAATTGTAACAGTCACCGGATTACATATCACACCATCAACACCCTAACTGCTATTGCAACATAATCATAGAGAACCTAAGTCTCAATCCGAAGAACAAAAACCAAACCTGTTACCCAAGAATTGACTCTAGAGGGGGGTGAATAGAGTCAATAATAAACAATGGACAATTTTCATAATATAGAAAAATAATTTCAAGCAAAGTACTTAACACAATTGTGCAATTATAAAGATATGAAATAAGCAATTAAATAGCACAGTTTTAAGAGAAATAAATGAAGAGAAATTGCAAACTATAACACGGCGATTTTTGCGAGGTTTGGAAGCTCCTACTCCTCGGCTCAAGACCCCTCTTGAGACTTCCCAATTCACTATGGCTTCTCCTTACGGGTGGAGAGCAAACATTTACATAAAGCAACTCCTTATTTTATCTTGCTAAGAGAACAACCTTCCCTTAGTCTTCTTTTGGATCACACCAATCCGGTGGGTTAAACCAACCCTTACAATAGATAGTAATAAGAACAATGAAGTACAAGAAATCTCTCAAAGATGGATGTACAAATTTTAGCTCACAACTAGAGTATTGATGAATATAAGTGAAGCTTAAACTGTATGAATGATATGAATGAGAGAGAATGATATAAGTGAAGAATAAAAGCTCTTATGAACTCAATAGGATCTCTCAAGTATAGAATAGAACAAAAGCTCTTTGAATCATTGGTTGAATCTCTCAAGTATAGTATATAAATGAATGAGAGAGATGAAGAGAAAAACGTGAGAACAAAAGCTCACTTTTGATGCCTAATGAGGTCTCTCAAGTGTTGGCTCTCTTGTATGCCCACAATGTCCAAGCATTGTGTATTTATAGCCCTAGTGAAGAATAAATTCGTTTGGGGGCAATATAGTAAAGTCCCATAAGGTTCCATGGTCAAACTAGCCATTATTTCAAATTTGTCTCAGTATCGGTCGGCTGATGGTACACTTTCGGTCAGCTTAAAGTGCCTTGTTGGTCGGCTGACAGTCCACTTCGGTTGGTCGAAACAATGACTCTCAGAATCCGAACTCTCTATTTTGCTATCGGCCGGTTGCCACAAACTGGGCATTATCACCAGTCGGCTGACAAACAAAAAATTTGTCTTGACAGTTTTGTTTTCAGTTTAGACTTCTGCCAGACTGTTTGCATACCTTATTTTCATTGAAAATATTTAAGTAAATGTTTTTACAGTATTTACTTTAAATTTACAATGTAAATAAGGAAGTACATTCCATTTGGATTCAATAAAAAATATAAGAAAATTGAAATCCAACTAAATCAAAATTTAAAAATTCAGTTTTAGTACAAATTTGAATTTCTGATAGTTTTGGTAAAAAAAAATCCTTATGTAGACTTGGTCATAAATTCTGATAAAATCAGTTTAGGCTATTTGAAGTATAAGGAGTACTTACCGGGAAAAATTATTTTGAAATAATCAGTATTTCAAAAATTCATTTTTCACAGTTAGCCATTTTTCATACTTGACCAAAAACACAGTTTCACGAGGTACATACTAGGGTCCTAATGACCTTTACAAAGGCATGGTAACAAAGGCTTTATAGATAAATAATTAAATTCTAAGCCTTAACCTTTACTTTCTAGAGACCAAAATGAATCATGTAATTGATGTGTATGGACCTAGCATTCTAGCACAAGTGTTGAGTCCTTTCAAAGCTTAAGTAAGCTCGAACTAACTCATTCTTTAGCAATGACTTCATACGTCAATTATATATATGAATGAAGTGTATATTATATTGCTAATGGATATAAGAACGTAAGAATGATAATGGTGATATGCATGATCCTATAGAGATGAATATTAAATGGATTCATAAATACTTTGAAATTAAATCCTAAACACTCACCATCCTATCTACCCTTTTTTCATGCTTTGTCCATGATCATTTAAGCTTTGAGGTACTCTTGCTTTCTTCCTTTCTTTGAGTTGTTTGCTTGCTCATTGTAGTACAAGCTGTCTTTGGATGGACTTTGCATTTTGGTTCTTTGCAACTTCATGTCTTCTTTGTATCCATTACTTTACTTGATGTGATATTGAATAATGGAATACTTGGAATGATCTTTATAGCTTCATTGAGGTCATTCTTTGAATGTGAAATATCTATAACACTCAATGTAAACATTAGTTCTTAAACACCATTAATGCTTTGTTATCATCAAAACGTTTAGATTGTCTTTGGATGAACCCTTATGGTCAACAAAACCCACCACCGGAATTACATAGTCACAACCTCACTATTGTCAAAATCGTTGATTTTTGTTACCGGAATTGTGAATCCTTCGTCTGATATAATCATGGTCATCAGAGCCTGAAGTGTGTTGGATCGCCACCAGACTCCTTGCCCATCGCTGATTTAGTTACAAAGTTTAATTTCTCCTTATCTAATAATCACAGGAATTGCGACACTTCCTCCCCGTAAGCTCAATGCTCAGTCCGATGACTTAACAAAGCTCAACTCTGAAAGCTTAGTTATGGGTCTCAAAGATGACATTTCGAATTCATCGGGAAAGGACATGGAAGCATAACTTACCACCGTTCAATCAATGTCCGATTTGCCGATAATGGAGAATCGACTTCGTCTTCTTCGATTCTTCTTTCTATGACTTTTTCAAGTTGATTTGGATATATTGTTGATGGGATTTGATGTGTATGAAAGATGAGAGAGATGGTTGTGATAGTAACTATGGTAGGAGGTGGTGGCAATGGCGATGGCTATGGTGGGAGAATGTGGGTAGAGGTAAGGGTGCAACTTGGGTTGGGAAACCCGAACCCAATCTGAGCCCAGCCTGATTTTTCTCGGGCTTGGGCAATCATTTTTATAATTAGGGTTGGGCTTGGATTGAAAACTCTCAACCCAAATTGAATTAGGTCTGGACTTAGGTTGGAGTGCTAGCAACCCAAGCCAACCTGAACCCAAATTATAATATTATTTTCATATATATTTTAAATTTAAAATACATTATATATAATATTTAAACTATGACTACTTTTTTTTCTTTTCAACTTCCTTTGTTAAATCTTAACTTATTATATATTAGTATTTAGGAGACTTAATTTTTTTAAAATTTGTTTGTAATTTATTAAAAATCTACAAAAAGTTTTTGAATTTTTTCTTATTTAAGAGTAATTTAATCTAAAACTAATTCAAGATCATATTAAATTTTCGGTGTGAAGATTAGCCATATAAGTAACCCAAATTAACCCTCGAAATTTTAACATGAAATTTAAGCCCGAATTTAAAAGTAGAAGAATGGGTTGAGCTCAGATTGAGTAGTTAACGTTGAGAATAGGGTTAGGGTTGGGCTTGGGTTTAACATTTCATATGATGTGTTAGGCTCAAGTTATACCTCAAACCCATCCGAGTTGCAGTCCTAGGTGGAGGCGGCCAGGG